CTTTAAATTTTCTTCCAAATAAATATTTATGAAAATATTTTATTCCCCAAAATACTGCTAAACATTCTAATTCTGTTATCGGATACCTCTTTTCTGCATTTACTAAACTTCTACTCGCATAACTAATAACTATTTCTCTATTATTTTCATCTAATTGTTCTAATATAGCTCCTAATCCTTCTCCTGATGTATCTGTTATTAATATAAATTCTTTTTCAAAATTTGGATGTTGTAATATTTGATAATTTATTAATTTTTCTTTTAATTCTTCTAATGCTTTTTGTTGTTTATCTGTCCACACAAAAGGAACATTCTTTCTCGTTAATTCCATTATTGGTTTTACTATTTTTTGAATATCCTTTCACAAATTTTCTATAATATGAACATAATCCATTTATTTCTCTTATTTGTTTGATATTCTTTGGTGGTTTTAAATTTTTAATCTTTTCTATTTTCTTATCATCTGGTTTTAATCCATCTGTTCTTACTATATGTTCCAAATATTCTACATTCTTTTTCGCCCATTCACATTTCTTTAACTTTAACATCATATTCACTTTTCTTAATTCTTCTAATACTATTTTTATATGTTGTAAATGTTCATTCCAATTTTTCGAATATATTATAATATCATCTATATATACGTTCATAAATTTATCTAAGTATTCTTTAAATATTTTATTCATTGTTCTTTGAAATATTGCCGTTGCATTTTTTAATCCAAATGGCATAACATTAAATTCATATAATCCTTGACTACAAATAAATGCTGTCTTTTCTTTATCTTCTTCCTTCATTTCTATTTGCCAATATCCACTTGCTAAATCGATTGTTGTAAACCATTTTGCTATTTTAAATTTTTCTAATAAATCATCTATTCTTGCCAAAAGATATGCGTCTGTTATCGTCATTTGATTTATTTTTCTAAAATCTATACAAAATCTTTTATCTCCTGTCTTTTTATTTACTATTACTACTGGTGACGACCATGGACTACATGATTCTTGTATTATTTCTTCTTTTAACATTTTATCTATTTCTCTTTTTATTATTTCTCTATTTTCTGTACTTTCTCTATATGCTTTTTGATTTATTGGCATTTCATCTTTTATCCTTATATTGCATTTTACTATATTTGTTTTACTTATTTTCTTATCTCCATATATACAAATATCTTCATATTCTTTAACTAAATCTTTTAATTCTTTCTCTTGTAATTTCTCTAAATCTTTATATTTTATTTCATCTGTCCAATCTTTGTGCATCTTTAATGTCTCTCCATTATTATGGCCAAGACCTAATAGTTTTCCTCTATTATATGTCCTTTTTCTTCATTATTTATTAAATATATTTCTCGTTCACTTGTTTCTTCATATTCATTTTCACTATCTTCATCTTCACTATCATCACTATCATTATCATTATTAATATTTTTATCATTATTTTCATATTTTATTGGTATTTCAATATCTTTTCCATCTTCTCTTAATATTAATATCTTTTCATTATAATCTATTATTCCTTTCTTTTCTCTTAACACATCATTTCCTAATATTAATTCTTTTTCTACTGATTCAAT